TGTAAACTACTTTTACCTGATGATGACAAAACCTTGTCGAAACGTTGTACATTTGCTGTTATGTTATACTTATATTAAAGTTCGATCACAAGGAACTCACTTTGAGACTAATAATGGTTAGAGACGGCTTGAATGGATAATGAAGACAAACAAAGTCACAGTTGAAAGTATTCAATACATAGTATTATAGAGGAATGGCGAAATATTACATGTTTCCCACCACCACCCCTTGTTTAATTAACATATAATGTTTTCAAAATATTCTTACATGTAGGTGTATAAGGTTGTAACACAAAATATCAGGCATAAAAGTCACTAAATTCCTTTCGTCTCAGCTACCTATTTTCCTTAATCATTCACTTATGGTATCATATGCGCTTTCTCGAGGGAAAGATTTATTAAAGGTTGAACTAAGTAGAAGTGTGCAGTGATCTTTACCACTGGCTAGTCAAATGATACCCAGAGGTGTAAACTTCCTTATTTTTCGATGGGACTGAAAAACAGTCGTATGAGTAGCGCAGGCAAGTTGAGGACAACATTATTGTTTCATGTATATCATGCTACAATTTCTTAGTATAAAACAGTTTTTACATATTCAAACAGTCCTTTAAGAGATTAGATTGTTGACGACTTCCGTTAAAGACGCTATTTCTTATGCACTCATCTTATCTTTAGTTGTTTTTGTTAATTCTATAAATATTGTTTTGTTACACATTTTGGTCCAATATTTTTCATTCTTCAAAGCTAGAGAATTCAGATTTACTTTTTAATATAATTTCTATCAAACTTTCCGCTACTTTATAGTTACCTACACGATTACTCTTAAAGAAATCTTGCACCTGAGAGTACTACAGACATATGATTAATTATATATAAGGGAAGAATGAAAGAGATTCTGATGGATAAAATCCAAAGAAAAGGGGTTAAAGATAGAATTAGAAAATTGTTTGTTTGAAGTGAAGCACAAAACAACACAATGGGCTATCTGTACTCTGCCCACCACGGATATCGAAACCCTGTTATCAGCGTTGTAAGTTCGTAGACATTCTGCTGTGCCACTGAGAGGCAAGAGTTAGAAAATTGATTGGAGATTAGAAGCTGAAAGTAAGAAAGGTGATGTAGGCAGTGAGGAACAAAGAACCATAGTCATTGACCCTCAGAACAGAGAAGGACATCATAATTGATTGAGATCAGTACAGTGTTTACATAGAGATGTAATGTGTGTTTACATAGGGATGTAATGTGTGTTTAGAT